ATGAAGCCCATAAGTGGGACGCTGCTATGGCGATGGGAAGGGAGGGAATGGATGGGAGAAGCTTTGGGGAAGTAGAATAAATGGGGCTTGGCTCCTGAATACACATCCCCTTTCTGCACCCACTGTTTGACCCTCATCCCTCCACTCCTCTGATCATAGAAGGGTATATGATGTTCCTTAATACACTGACTTATATTTTCTGGAAAATTTCTCATCAGTATCAGGCAAGGCTTCTTCTGCATTTTCTATGAAAGACACCCCAAAGGACAATTCTTGGTGTTCAACACAAAGAAGTAATATTCTTTTTTTTTCAAAGAAGTAATATTCGGGTTTACATTCATATTGTATTTTCTCTGTATTCTGGACTTCCAGATGACGTTTCCCCCTTTTAGCATAGGATTCTTTTTTATACTCAGAAAATGTGAACATACATGAGTACACTTCCTGCGAAGTTCCTGGCACTCTGGCAGAATGGAAATCAGGATAATAAAATTAAAGTTATTAAAAATGATAGTAAATTTCTTTCTTTGTTCCTTTATTCAGCTTTGAGAGCATTTCTGCTCTCTAAGAATCTTAGAATATTAGTTTTATATATTTGGGAAAAAGAACTTTAACAATAGAATTCTATAACTAAATTAAGAGAAATTTAAAAAAGCTATCATCAAAATCGTAGTGTTTTATAAATCAATTTTTTAAAAGATTTTATTTATTTATTCATGAGAGACACACAGAGAGAGGCAGAGACATAGAAAGAGGGAGGGGCAGGCTCCTCACAGGGAGTCTGATGTGGGACTGGATCCTGGGACTGGGATCACGCCCTGAGCCAGAGGCAGATACTCAACCACTGAGCCACTCAAAAGTCCCTATAATTCAATTGTTAAACAAAATCCAGACAATGTATCAGCCACTTCATTTCATAAAGGCCAGAAAAGAAGGTTCTTCTATCTTATGTTCACATTGCTCTTTTTTGCATTTATGGATTAGATTAAAATGAACTGAAGTTGCTGGTATCTGGCAACAGGGAAGGTACCCCTAGCCTGACAGGTGTTTTGGGGAGGCTTTGCTCTTGGTGATGTATAGCTTTTGAAGACCTGCATAACTACTTTGGAGTTGGGAAATTTTGGATTACGTCCCCTGGACTTTTCTGTAGAGACATACAGGGCGACAACCGGAGCTACAGACAATGGGCCTGCATTAAGTGAGTGGTAGGGAGCAGGGGTGAGCTGTGGCACACTGGAGCACAGCAGCTGCAACACTGCTGGGATGCTCAGCGGTGGAACACAAGGCATGCTGAGTATCTAGGAAATTAGGGATCTGTTTTCAGCTCAATTTCAAGCAGGAAATTATCTTCCTCATTAAAAGAAACAAAAAAATTATACCTCTTCCCTGGCCCCTCAATCAGCACAGTTTTATGGCAACTCTTGGGCTGAGCATGCAGGACTCAATGCAGATGAAGGGGCAGCAAGTGCTCCAGTTAACAGAACAGCTAGCTTTTATGAAGTGCTTACTGTAAACAAACACACCCTAAGCACTTTCCCTGCATTGTTTTATTTAACTGTTTAAACTGTTATCAAGCCCATTTGACATGAAAAAACTGAGAATGAGAAGTTCAATAGCTTGTCCAAGATCCAAAGCAACTGAATCTGATTCAGTCCTAACTAGACTGATCAGACCCATGCCAAAGACAAAGTTCTAAGTCTTCTCCCCACATCGCCTCTGGCTGAAATAAAGCCAGCAGCCTCCTTCTGCAGGGGATATCGATGCAGAGCAAGATGTGCCTTCATAGTGTACAAGTGAGCTCTGAATATTTCAGCACGCATAAGAAGTAGCCTTCTCAGAGAACAGGGAAAATACTTTCAGATAATGCACCAAGGTGGTATTTTTTATTAAAAATGCCCGGTGGGGCACCTGGGTGGCTCAGTTGTCTGCCTTTGGCTCAGGTCATGATCTTGGGGTCCTGGGATGGAGCCCCGCATTTGGGCTCCTTGCTCAGTGGGGAGTCTGTCCCTCTCCCTCTGTTCCTTCCCCGCTTCGGGCGCTCTCTCTCAAATAAATAAATAAAATCCCCCTAAAATAAAAATAAAACTGCCTGGGAGAAAGGATTTTTAAAAGACAAGAGAATGTTGTGCTGTCTCCCAAGAGTCTCCTGAACACGCAGGAAGAAATGTATTCACATTACCTCTCTAGGCCACGAAATATGCGTGCTCACTTTCTGGGGGAGGGAAAGGCTTCTAGGGTGGTTATTATCACTGGGAGCTGTGGGATGGATTATTTCCCTTCACTCTTGTTGCTACCTGAAAAAAAAACACACACACACTGCAAAAAAGTGATAGGAATGGGAAAGCTACATTTAGACAAAGATATTGTGCAAGATGAAGCAGAAAAAAACTGAAGAGAGTAAGTAAAAATGAGACAACATAAGGAACCTGTCCAGGTCCAAGTAGGGAATCTTCCCTTAGCCACACTGGAGAAAGAGAAGATGGTCATCCCAGGTCCTTGGGGAGGAAGGACCGAGATGACATAAGGATAGCAATGCATGTGGTTCTGTCCCTTCTGGCTTGTGTGTCCTCTCTTTCTCTCCTCAGTTATTGTGGCTGCTGTTATTATTAGTATCATCATTATTATTTTACCTTAAAACATTTGCTGGATTATTTATATTCCTATAAAGTAGCTTAAATCCTTTACTGGAATAGGCTAGTTATAAATACATAAATAAAAATATTTACATAAAATTATATTATTCACATGCATCTATAGTATTTATAAATACATAAATTAAAAATATATATATATTCATTCAAAAGTTAATGTATACTATAGGATATGTAGACCTCATTCCAGAGTTTGGGTTTAGTAGCTCTCAACAAATCTTTTATCTTCATAAAGCCCCGTGATAAGAAATCTTTCCCGATATTCTTGCACATGGATTCTTGGGTGAGGACGTGGGTTGGATGTCCCCCCCACCTCCACCATTAGAGGTCAGAGTTGGTATCCAGTGAGGTAGGGGTTGAGCCGAGGGGGTGGTGCAAAACCAAGATGGTGGCACCAGAGTTGTGACTGGGCAAGCACAAAGAACATACAACCACACATACAAGCAACTTCTGAAAGGCTGAGATTGCCAAGAGGCCCAGACTTGGGCTAGGTATTTGGAAGTGCAGTAATAATTTTTGTGTGTGAGGACAGAAGGTATCTGAGTTACACAAACAAGAGAGTGTTCACTATGAATCCAAAGGAGAGTTCATGGTGAGTTGACTGCGGCTATATTAGCACTTCCTAGGTACAGGAAATGTGGCTCCTTGGGGCAGGTGGGGACTAGGCCATGATGCCACTGAGAGTACTGCCTCTCCTTGGTGAATAGCAGCTTGTGCTCAACCCACTGATTTCACTCCCTTCTAATAGACTGAAGATGCACAAGGAGGCAGGTGAGGAGTGTGAATGTGGGTATATGGGAGATGTTCTGTGCATGTGAAGTATAACATGATAGTATGAACTAGAGTTTGTATTGGACTAGTGTCTAGTGTGTCCTTTTTACAGTTGCAGAAACTACAGCTGGCTGAGGCAACTCTCTGGAGGTCAAAATTTGAAGATGGTGAAAGAGTCATGACAACATTCCTGTTCCAAATTCCTGTCCTTTGCTCTTTCTCACAATCTACAGTGATTTCTGGTAATAAACATATTACTGCAAATAATAATGTAAGATTATTTCTGTAACTTTATTGATGGGGTATTAAAATCTTCTCATGTATCATCTCATTTAATTCTCACAATTGAGGTGAATGACAGAGCAAGGATGTGAAAATTCTGCACACAGATCTTAACACTTTATTAGTGATTCTTAGTGGGTGCATATTTACAGTTCACCTGTTTATTAATTCACCCTGCAGATACTATTTTTTATTCCTTATTATAAAGATATTACATATAAAGGAAGCAGGACTCAGAGAAAGAGCCAGAAAAAAAAATCCCTTTCATTAGGCAGGGGAATCCCTTTCTTCCATTCTTCCTTCCTCCTTCCCTCCCTCCAACCAAAAACCACTTAATAAATGCCTTCTCTGTGCTAAGTGCCTTGGTAGGCACTAGGAATAAGATTATAAAAAAGATAAAATCCTTGTGCTTCTGGAGTTCATGGTCCAGTTAAGGGTAGAAGAGTCTGTAGGTAGAGAACTAATTTTACGTCTTTAAACCTTAAATCAGAGTACTGCAGGGATCCCTATGTTGCTGGCTTATCCTATCCCTTGGTTTTGTTTCTACCGGTATCTTGTTTGGTACACAGGATATTTTGTATTATACTACGCAGTTCTAGATGATGTCATATGTTATGTGATATTTTATCTGCCCTACTTAGTATTTCACAGACATGAAAAGAATCTTTGATAATAGCTACAGACCAGAAGTTGAAGAAAACAACAGGTCTTGGGTCAAAACAAGCTAGGGTTCAGGGGAGAACTATTGTTTTAGGGCTTAGTCTGAGGGGAAGTGCAGTTTAGGTCTGGGAAATAGGTTGGAGTTCTTGGTGGGAGGTGTGCGTGTTTGTGGCAGGGGAGCTGGATGATGACAGGAGCAGCTTTCTCCACCTGGGTCACATATCTTCATAGTGAAGTTTTCCTTTATGGTGACAAAAGTTGTGAATTTCCAGACTACCTATACATATTCAAAATAAGTTCATAATGCATTTAAAATAGTAAAGAATTCTTTTTGCTTCATCGCTTTTAATAAATGTAACACATAAAATCTATATCTAACTATACAACCTATGGATGGCCTTCAAGGAATCTGTGAACTCCCCAAAACTGTATGCAAAATTATATGCATCTGCGCATTGTTCTAGAGAGGGTCTGTGGCTTTCGTCAAATTCAAACACATGACTCTAAAATAATGAAAGCCCAATGAATAGGTAATTAAGAAAATTGAGAAATTAAGCCTCATAACAAGGACTTTTTTTCCTCTCATATATAATTAGGGCTTTTTAGCATATGATTCGGACACAAATACTGACTTACGTCAAGAGCCACGGACTGCTTGGCCCAGGATTTCTTCACTTGATCGTACATAATTGTGTTGTTGATGCCCAGGCCACAGAAGATGACAAAAGCCTAGAAAAGAGAAAGCCTGCTAATTAAAGATTGCAATAACTCACTGGTATAATCTAATTTGAAAGCAGGCAGTTATCAGAAATGGGTCTGAAAATATAATTTTATTGTACACAAAGGCAGGCCTTAGGGAAATATGCACATTAAGATTCTTAATTACTACTGTCATGTAACAACTTTATAGCTCACATTGCACATGAGAAAAAATTAATAATTTAATGTCATTATGGAGAAACAATTTTATAAATTTAAAAACATATTTACAGTCTTACCAAATATGTTCTTAATTTATTTGGGTCGTGGACTGATTTTAGTAATTCCATTGCATTTAACTAAAGCACCCTCTTTTAGTGACTAGGCTATAAAATATTTTGGTGTGGAAACCAAATGAGCGTACTCATGAGGTAAATGTTAAGAGGAAGGAAGGTAGACTTAGAACCAGTTAGTAAAGAAGCTGTGAGGTATTCTGGGCTAGAGAAAAATAATTGTGGGGTTTCCATGTTGGCTACCTTTGTGGGTGCAAAGTTTGCAAGGATGCCTGTTCAAGGCCAATCTTTCCAGCTAGAGGGCAGACTAGAATAATGGGAAGCTTGAAAACATGGGAGGCAACGGCTGTACAGGCCGCAGAGTTGCTGGAGGTCTCACAACTATAGATTTTCTCCTGACAGATTTTGGCAAGCTGCGACCAGGAGACCATTGGTGACTCAACTCTAACCTTTGGTTCACAAATTTATTTTCTTACCTCAAAAAGTCGTTGATCTGCATCATCAAAAGCTTTCCCGTCAAGTTTATTTAACACTTGAGCCACTCCTGTGGGAAGAATTTGGTTTACGTAGTCATTTTTAGCACTGGACTCTGTATTAGAACATAACAAAGCCCCGCTGCCTCGATACCTCCCCGAGGTGACAACCTCCCTCAGTTCAAGCTTCAGTCCCCAGTGTCTGCTGTCTCTGCGAGGGCAGACCTGAGGTGCACAGCGATGCAGTCTGTCTTCAAGGCTGTGATATCCAAACCACATCACAGGGAGGATTGGAGTTTTATCAACAATCAGTCTGATTCCTTAAAGCGGTTTTCAAGATGACTGTGCACAGTACCTCTGGTATACCTGACACACGTATACATGCATATGCACATATATGCATTACATAGATCGCTGGGTATTAATAACTGTGTGAATATACATATATGTGTATAGGTGTATATATATATTATACACACATATTATATATATATACTTTTTTATGTTTTTAACATCCTGAACACAGTACTTGAATGAGGCAGGATGGCATCGTGATTAATAACGTGGGCTCTGGTGTCATACTGTCTCAGTTCACATTTCAACTCCACCATCAGCTGTTATCTTGAACAAGTTACCTAACTTTTTTAGCACTGAAATAATGGGGACTAAAATATTGGCTAGTGGGCACCTGGGTGGCTCAGTGGTTGAGCATCCACCTTTGGCTCAGGTCATGATCCTGGGGTCCTGGGATTGAATCCCACATCTGGCTCCGCGCGGGGAGCCTGCTTTTCTCTCTGCCTATGTCTCTGCCTTTCTCTCTGTGTCTCTCATGAATTAAAAAAGAATAAAGATGTTGACTAGCTCAGAGGGTTATGAAGATTAAATGAGACCGTGTTTGAATGTTTTAAAGCATATTGCGCCACACTGAGTGAACATTCAAGGAATGCTGGGGATTATGAGGCAGCTAACCTTCAGAGCAAAGTTAGCTCTGCTGCCCGCTACTGATGGGGTACATACAGTTTTAACAAACTTAATTCATACATACTTCTTTCCAAAGTTCATTTCCAGCATTGTACCAGATGTTTTGGGGCAAGATTCTCAAAACATACAATTCTAACCACAAAAACTGAACAATCTTGAGAAACATTCCCCTGTGGCCCCATTTAGTACAAACAAAAAAGGAGCTGTAATTCTAAAGCTTCTAAAGCATGCCTGTATTTTTTAAGATCTCTAACTTCCCTTTAGAGAGGTAAGTCATCATAGGCTAGAAGACATATTTAACAGAACACAAATCTTTTAGCATGTAATAGGCAAACAGCAGCCTTAATTCTGAAAGAATTACAGATGTTTACTGCTGGGAATGAAAGCTAGGACCGTATTTGAGATTGCCATTGGACATCAACAGATAGCACATGGTGTTTCTTATGCACTTTCTCTTTTTTTAAAACTCAAGTATGTTTAAAAATCTATACATGATGTGGGGTGCCTGGGTGGCTCAGTGGCTGAGCATCCACCTTTGGCTCGGGCCTTGATTCTGGGGTCCTGGGTAGGAGTCCTGCATCGGGCTCCCCGCCGGGAGCCTGCTTCTCCCTCTGCCTATGTCTCTGCCTCTCTCTCTGTGTCTCTCATGAATAAATAAACAAAAAAACAAAAAAACCTGTATACATGATGCAATTCAATGCTTTGTACTAGGGCCTCAAATTCCCAAATCTAAGAACATTCTTGATGTTCATTAATGTACCAATATTTGTCTGCAAAATAAGCAAACTGATGAAAAAAATTGTTACAGTTCAAGTCCTGACAATATTTACATAATACTAAATCCTTTGATAAGTAGCAGTGCCTTACAGTTTAACAGGCAATGCTAGGGGAAAGCAAAGAGAGGCAAATAGATACACTGGTTACCGTATGTCTCATAGAAAATAAAAAGCAACACGTTTTAATTATGTTTCAATAGTCTTCACTAATGCCTCCACTCTTTATGAGTTCTCTACTTTAACACTGACATCTTTCTTGGGTTTGATACTTTCCTGACTGAGATTTTGAGGGGAGGGAAAGGAGCAAAGGAGGGGGAAAATCTTGAAAGCTGCTTTGGCCCCCAATTCCATTATTCTGAGTCAAGTGTAACCTATTTCAGAATCATCCAGACAGAAAGATATGTGCTCAGTATGTGTCTAATAATGTACACTCTTCTTCCCCTGCATCTTGTACACCACAGATGTAAACCTACAGATGTACTAGGAACATCGGTATAGCAGTGAAGATGCCTGATTTTTAATCCTGATCCTGCTGCTAACATTCTGTGACTTTACCCTGGTCTTCCTGAGATTCCCCCCACCTCACCTCAATTTCCACAAGGTAAGATAAGAGAGTTCTATTAGTTGATTTCTGAGATCCCCTCCAACTTCAAAATTACTGGTCCTTGGTTAAAAGGATAAACATTTGTTCATTGTTCTGGTTCATGTTGATTCATCAGGACTCTGAGACTCATCAGGAGTCTGCACTTAGGAGATGATTTAAGAGAATGAGACATAAGTTGAGGAGTCTTGGACATAAAAGAGTGGAGCAGGTAACACTTCTTGGCTTTTTTTGCTAAGATCAAGTGTAAAAGGGGTAAGCAGGTAAAAAAGATAGGGTGTATTTTAAAGTAATTTGTCTCTTTCTTTTAAAAAAGAAGTTTGTGCTGGGGCGCCTGAGTGGCACAGTTGGCTAAGCATCCGACTCTTGGTTTCAGCTCAGGTTGTGATCTCAGAGCCATGACTGAGCCTTGCGTCAGGCTCCACGCTCAGCATGGAGTCTACTTAAATTTCTCTCTCTCTCCTTCCATCCCTCCATTGCCCTCCCCCCAACCCTCTACCCCCACTCTCTCTCAAATAAAAAAAAAGAAAAAAGAAAAAAAATTGAATTATTTACATAATGTCTTACCAATTATTTGGTGGTTGCTATTCCAAATAGGGACACATAGAACAGATCTTATATGAAATCCCGATATCTGGTCAGCCTAGGGTATAAGAAAATAGTTAATTAAAATTAAACATTATTTACCCATTTCTGACTTACAGCTTGCTACTCTTCATAACAGACATTTAAAAATAACTTTTAAAAAGACACATTATAATCTATTTTTTAATGCATACAGTCACTTGTCTCTTTTAATTTAAAGCATCACAAGGAGTTCAAGCCCCAACCAAATATGAATTGATCAAACAACCAACACTACCTCCCCCAATCCCTGCAGCTGCAGAGAGCTAGATGTAAAACTCTTGATCATGCTCCTACCACCAGACAAAAATCTGGCAACTATTTTTGCCCTGAGTATTTAAAACATCTTAATTAAACCAGTAGTCAATATTTCTCTTTGATTGGGCACATGTGTTAGTAAAAGTGCTTTGAGCCTATAATGCTGCCATATATATATACATATGTATATGTACTTTTAATTCTCTCTCTCTCTCTCTGTCTCTCTCTCTCTATATATATATATATATATATAGCTTTTAGACAGAGTATATGCACACTCAAACAGGGGTGGGGGGTTGGGGGAAAGAGGGAGAGAGAATCTTTAGCAGGCTCCACACCCAGCGGGGCTCGATCTCATGATCCTGAGATCATGACCTGAGCCAAAATCAAGAGTTGGACACTTAACTGACTGAGCTATGCAGGTGCTCCAATACTCTATATTTTAAACATCACTAATTTACTATATATATTATAATATATAAAAATTTGGAGTTGCAAAAATATATGATAAATGTAGGGTTTTTTTTTTAAAGATTTTATTTATTTATTCATGAGAGACACGGAGAAAGAGAGAGAGGCAGAGACACAGGCAGAGGGAGAAGCAGGCTCCATGCAGGGAGCCCGATGTGGGACTTGATCCCGGGTCTCCAGGATCACACCCCGGGCTGAAGGCGGCGCTAAACCGCTAAGCCACAGGGGCTGCCCATGGTAGGGGTTCTGAGATCCTCTTTCTGTACTCTAGGAGACTGTCAGATGATATATTTAAAATAAGAAAGGTATAAGTACTAGGATCAAAAACCATCATTCAGTAATAAGCTCTACTGAATATTAAAGCCAGTGGTCCATATCTAACCGTTAGATAAGAACTACTAATGACTGATAGAGTGTTGGTGAGTTCATATGACTTTGATTTCTAGTGAGAAAGGTCAACTTGCCATCCAAATACAATAGGAAAAAAAAGATATCAAAGTTTTAGATCATAGTTATTGGGGGTAAAAAGGTACTTTTAGATTTTTAAATGTTCATTTTAGGACTTAAGAGCCATATATTTTAAACATTTAAAATTGGAAGTTAATTTACACACTTAAATTTTATGTTTGGATTGTTTTGGTTTTCCTCTGAGAAATTAATTTTCCAGATATCTTCTATTCTTGATGCTGGTAAGTAAATCTCTTTTTTAAAAGTCCTTTTTGGAAAAAAAAAAAAGAAGCCCTTTTTTAGTTTTGTTCAAGAAATCTCTCCCTACTCCTATTTCACGAAGATATCCTCTCATTCTTTTCCTAGAATCTTTATTGTTTGCGCTTTCACATTTAGATTTGCAATCAAACTGAAAATGATTTGTGAGAATTGTGTGAGCTAAAGTCAAGACTCTTCCATCTATTTATTTACTACCTCCTATGCACCAGACACATTGCTGGGCTTTGAGGATATAAAAATGAATTTAAACAGTTGCATGAAGAGCTCACAGTGTAGTTAAGATAAAATGAGTGTCCAAATAAAGCGTGTTCAAAATACTATGGAAAAGCCAGCAACTGACTCTGTTTAGAAAAATCAAGAGCGGATTTAGATCCTTACGAGTGGGTCTTCAAGGACAGGGATGGCCCGATGATGCTGAGCTCACATTCACTTGATATGCACTTCCTGTCAGCACCTGATTCAGCACCTTCACATGCATCATCTCATATATTTATTAAAACAACCCTGCAGGTAGGTACTGTTAACTTCCTCCCTCTTAGGTAAGACTCAGAGAGATTAACTGCTTTGAACGTGGAGAGACTTCTTTAAAGGAAGTCAGACAATAACAGACAGGTCCATCAGTTATCTTCCAAAAGAAACAAAGTAGTTTTCTTTCTCTCCCTCAGGCTAAGGTCTGACTTACAGCAAGCTAGAGTGCGCGAAGAGGAGGAGGTTGATTTTACAGACATCTGGGAGGTATAGGCCACAGATTTGGGCCAGCCAGAGCAGTACTAGAATGTTCGGGCCTGCTTGGTTTTGCTGAGGGTCATACACAGGCGTGCATAGTCCTGGGCCAGCACTGAGGGGAGGCTCAGTTGCCTCTGCGACTCCGGGACAGCTGTACCTCCACTCTAACCTCTCCCAGGAGATCTGCAGCAGCTGAGGAAAGAGGTCACAGTGCAAGAAGACAAGGAACGTGCAATGAGTGGGTGAAAAAGGGAGACAGCTTGAGAGGCTGGTGGTGAGAAAAACAAACCTCAGGCTGTTTATCAGTGAAACATGAGAGAATTTGGTTTACCAAAAATTACTGTAGTTCCCCCAAAGAATGTTCTATTCTGGGGAGGTAAGGGTATTCTAGGGGAGGTTCTCTCATCCTTGTTGAAGATAACATGGATGTTTCTGGTTTAAGTAAGAGTGGCTGGAGTTCCCCAATGTGGGGAACACAGGACGTTTGAGGGATATTATTTTGGGTTCAAGTTACAGTGGAGATGGCAGTGGGAGAGAACGAGGAGCTGAGGCACTCATCTTGGAGTCATCAGCCTCTGGTCTGAACTGAGTAAAAGCACCATGGAAGAACTTGTCCAAGGAAAAGACAAAAGAGGATGAAAATTGAACTGAGCTGGGGTGGGGGACACATGGTATTTTGGGTAGAAAGAGGAAGCTGGGGTCAGTGACAGGGATGGAAAAGAACTCCAAAGCTCATATCTCAAAGTTTGTGCATTTCTAATGTGTGGACAGGTTGCTACAACCTTTCTGGAAACAGATTTATTGATGTGTATCCAGAGTCCAAAACATAGAAATACCCTTTGACCCACCAATTCCTGTGCCTAGAAATTTATTCTATGGCAATTATTATAGCTCACACAAAAGTTTAAATATAAAGGGGTAAACCATAGATAGCATTGCTAATGATAATGATATATTAGAAATAACCTGAGTACTCAACTGGAAGGAGTTGGTTAAGTAAAGCATAGCACATCTATACAATGCAGTATCATCATCCATCTAATTTAAATCACGCTATGGAGGAATATTTGTTAATGTGGAAGATTTTCTTTTATTTTTTTTAAAGATTTAATTTATTTATTAATGAGAGACATAGAGAGAGGCAGAGACACAGGCAGAGGTATAAGCAGGCTCCATGCAGGGAGCCTGAGAGGGAACTTGATCCCAGGACTTCGGGATCACACCCTGGGCTGAAGGCAGGTGCTCAACCACTGAGTCATCCAGACATGAAGATTTTAATGTACTAAGTGATAATAGTGTGGGGACACTCCATGGGTTTTGACAACTGCATAATGACATGCATCTACCATTATGGTATCCAGAGCAGCTTCACTGCCCCTCACATCCTCCCTGTTCCTCCATCCCCGCTCAGCTCTGGTACACTTCTCCCCCCGTCCCCCAGCTTTATGGAGATAGAATTGACAAAATTATAACACGTTCAATGTGTATAACATGATGGTTTGATATGTGTATACACTGTGAAAGAATTCTGCCCCTGGGAGTTTTTAAATGACTGTTTCTGCTTTCCACATTTTGGATAATAAATTCCTTGTATGCAAGGGGAAAAGTTATTTTCTAAATAGGACTAAAGTGGAACAACAGTGTCAAATTTTGCAGAAGAGTTGAGTGGGATAAGCACCAAAAAGTGGTTATTGGATTTAGCAACACAGGAGGATAACTGAAGGCAAAGACAGTCAAGGCAGGAAGGGATGGGATGAAGAACAGAAGTCAAGTGGTTAGTTCTGGAGGAGAGGAGGGCTACTCCGAGAGAGCAGAGCTACACTGGTCCAAAGCTGGGGGCTTGTGTGGGCTGCGTGCGAGAGGACAGGAGGGGCAACAGAGAATGTGGAGAATGTCTTTAAATCATCCCCACTGTGCAGAGGGAAGAAGTGAAGCTGGCACTAACTGGCTATGAAAACAGGGAAGAGAGAGCTGGTAATGGTCAGCATGCGTGTTGAGCCCAGCCCGACGGGAGAGAGGGAGGAGGAAGGATAGCAGAGTATTATGGGAGTGAATTTTTTTTTTTAATTTTAGCATCATTAAGGCAATCCCCCCACTTGTCTATCTGTGGCAATGCTGTTGTTTCTGGAAAAGTGAAACTAATCCGAGTTAGTTAATATGACCATATGAAATGGCAAAGACTGGAAGCATATCTCATTCTCTGCAGGGGCCAAAGGAAAAGAGATGAGGCCCATCAGGGGAGAATCCCAAACAAGGGTGAAGAGGAATAACAAAGTATGAAGGAAAGAATCATCTTCGTTAGTTGGATAACCTCAGGTCTTCAGATCATATGTCAATGGAGCTCAAAAATGTCTATTGGCCCCAACCAAGGCACCGAAACTCTCTTTGTCTTGATTTTTGCCATCGATATTTATCTGGGGCACACCAGGATGTTAACACCTGCTGTCTCTAGATTTTGGCATTATAGCAGATTCTCATCTTTTGTCCTTTGTGCTTTTTCTTATTTTCCAAGTTGTTTTGAAAGAATTTATGTGTGAAAGGGTTTCAAAATTTGTAAGGTGTTTTGCAAATGTAAATATTACTAATATTGAGAGGAAGAGCTGCCCCCAAATATCTGCCCCACTGTTCCACAAGGTTCCTGCTTGATCATTCTTAGTTTAAAACCCACATTTTAGAGTCTCAAATGTTAGACCATGTGAGACTAAGCAGCCTTTCTAGGAGGCTAACAGTTAAAATAAACATATTATCGAGGGGTGACTACTTCTTTCCAATTGAAGATGCATATAGCTAAAAATTCTGTCTCGCCTTTGTCTTCATTAGATCTTTTCAATTAATGGA